TACATACATACATACATACATATATATATATTGTTTTTAGAAAGGGGTTACCTCTAATTCTATGTTTCATGTACTGTGCTTTTTAAGTGATTGTCCATTAATACTAAAACTCTTTTGCTTTTTTTGATGGCAGTATTACAAATCTTTGTTTTCTTAGGGCTGCATTTTGCAGCAAGGATTAATTTGATGCTGGCTGAAGCTGCCAGGGAATTTCTCTGCACCACTTTAATTCAAACAGGCTAAGCAAATTCAAAGTTGCTTAGCTCATTGAGATCACGTTTTTGTTTTGTAATAATTTACATTTTGCCTGAAAATGAGTTAAAATGGCTAATGGGTACTAAAGACCATGATGCCACTTACTGTTGTGAGCAAGCAAATAGCTGTTCATCAAGCTTCTTCGTTTTATTGAATATGTATGGTGTATTTTAATTTGTTGTTACTTCCACTAAATCTTTGCAATAGGTCATAGTGCAGATTTAAGTAAATGAATAAATGGAATGATAAAAGCACTGAACTCATTAGCAAGCTAAATATCAGATGCTGACTAGCCAATTGCCAGGATGGCTTCATAACCAATCACCTTTTACTTCTCTGGCAGGCAACATTATGTTTTTTCCTTGGAAACATTAGGAAATGCTGCTTAGAAAATATTAAAATATTCCACATGTATTTTCCACATGTAATGTATTTGTTTCCAAGAAAAAACGCTTTCCATTTTCATTGCAGATGTAATTCCTTTATTGAGAATTCTCCTGCACTCAAAAAACCCCAAGCCAAAGTGAAGAAAGCACACCATTTGGGGCACAAAAGTAACAGCTCAACTAAGGAGCCGCAGCCTGAAAGAATGGAGGAAGTTTACAAGGCCTTGAAGAATGGATTGGAGTAAGAGCTTTTATTACTGCTGGATGTATTGCTCAAAAAGGAAAAAAAAAAGTTCTGTGTGATAAACAAGAACTTATCTACTGATGTCAAAGATAGCTAATCAGTTTCCAACCAGCAAAAGTACCTAGTTTGTTGATAGCCTAAAGATTGATTTGCACAATCCGTAGGTATTTAGTCATCTGGATAGTTTCAGTCCAACAGATGCCTCTTATCTTTCGGTTTTAGTGCATAATAGCTGCAAGAATCTCTACCTTTTGTTATTTCAGCTGATGCCCAAATGATTCTGTATTTAACTCTGTGGGATATGGCATGCTATGCTGATGTCTTGCATTTAGCATGGTTTGTAACAATAGTGAGGAAATATACAGTGGTATATTTCAGCCCAGTGATATTAATTAATTGTTGGTCAACTTACTTTAGGAATTGGGCAAGAGTAGAGTTATGTAGGGCTTTGTCAATTGTGTTTGAAAACTAAAAAGAATGGCATGTCCATTGTGATTTGGCCTTTATAAATGCACCTTTTTTCTAGTCTCCCTTCCATGCCTGCTGCAATTATTGCAATATACTAAAACATTGTAAGAATGAGAGAACCTGTCTCAAATAATATGTTTGTTAAGCAAACTGAAGTGTGATTCTGATGCGAGAGATTATTGCAGTTTTCTGTGGTCCTCTAAGGACACTGAACATAAGTGAGAAAGTTTTATGTATATGAGTAATTTTTATTTATATTTTATAAATCACATCTGCAAAATTTGACTTTTCTGTCTTTTTCCACAGATGAACTATATTTATGAGTAAAAGTATCTATTTCAGCCAAATATTTACTCTATAAAGAAATAATGCTTAAGTCTTTAAAAAGTTACATTTTATTTATTTAGATTTATATGGGAATATAACATTGCTGATGTTTCAATTTTGTATTCTCTTTACAGTGAATATTTAGAAGTTCATCAAACAAAACTGGATAAATTAAGTAGTCAATTGAAGGACATGAAAAGAAATTCGCGGCTGGTATGCTTGTCTAAAGATTCAAAATAGTAGAGAACAATGTGCTAAGCAAGGAAATTAAGAATTGGATTTTAATGTTAGGATGCTGCATATGAAACTAAGGGCTCATTATGTTTTAAACAAATACAATACATATTCTGCCACTTCAGGCATTTGATTATAATATACCTATATTACCACATGATGTTGATATACCAGATCTTTGTTTTCACAAATATGTTTCCCCTTAGATCTATATCATACTATTCCAACATTTAGTGCAGTGAACAATATATATCATTATTTTTGTATAATAATAACTTTTGCAAAGAGAGAAGAAGATATGGGAGGAAAGAGAGTTAATTCATTTGTAAAAACTCAGTACAGTACTTCAAAGTTATTTAACCACTTTTCTCAAAATAGACAATTATGGTTGCATTTTTGTATATTAAATCTGTGTGGGCCACTCTTTAGATAAATGATTACAACAATGTCAGGAAACCATTTTATCTCTTTGCCTATGCCTTTGCATGTAAACATTTTCTGGAAAATTTAGAACTGAATTTATGTCCCCCTATTTCTTCTCGCCCTGAACTGTGAAAAAAATGCAATTTTAAAAATGATATTTATTGCAGTTGTTTTCATTTTGGCTCAATTTGTTAGGACACTATGTTTAAAACTATCACATCTTCATTGAAAGAGTATCTTATTTTTAATAATACATTCATTCCATTCATTTCAGGGGGTGCTGTATGAACTTGACAAGGTAAGTATTTTGTAATTACTATACTTCAGAAGACAAATAATCTCAGTTATGTGTGGTAGCAGAAAAAAAATCTTCCTTCTAATTGGAAATTGTGGATGTTGTAGTTGCAACACATATTAAAATAGCAATAGCAATAGCAGTTAGACTTATATACCGCTTCATAGGGCTTTCAGCCCTCTCTAAGCGGTTTACAGAGTCAGCATATTGCCCCCAACAACAATCCAGGTCCTCATTTTACCCACCTCGGAAGGATGGAAGGTTGAGTCAACCCTGAGCCGGTGAGATTTGAACAGCCGAACTGCAGAACTGCAGTCAGCTGAAGTAGCCTGCAGTGCTGCATTTAACCACTGCGCCACCTCAGCTGGAGAAGGCTGCAGCATGGCATCTCATTAGTTAGAGAACTCATAAAGTAAAAAATCCTATCATTTTTCCTTCATTTACTTGGCAAACACCACTTTCAGTCCACAAAATCAATTTCAAATAGTGATTTGAATATTCTTGTCTAAGGTGATTATAGGGACATCTCAGTAAGTGCATAAAATATTGATAGAGTACAGTATGTGATTTGAAACCCTTTTATACAGTAACTTGAGATACATCTAATGGAACTGGGAAACCCTGTTTTGTCCAAAACCATTCGTGATTATTTCGTAAATTTAGAATGAAATTAAAAGCACTTTAATTCTGGTGTCTTCCTTGCCCAGATAGATAGACCTGAAGCTTCTCATTTTCAAGGAAGTATTGAATTACTTTTGTATATCAACCTGGTCTTATATGAGAATATTAGACATAGAGAGAAGTACCGTATGCATTGATTCAGCTAAATTCAGATATCTGTTCTTATTTTGATTATTTTATTTTTCAGCAAATGAAAGCAATTGAAAGATATATGAGAAAGCTTGAGTTTCATATCAGTAAGGTAATTAACTTCCTTTCATTCTGTTTCCAACTTTGTTCTTCAAAAAAAGCCTGTCTAGCAATGCTGTATCTGGGAGTCTAGAGAAAACATCTCACAAAGCAGTTCTTTAGATAAACATAGATTAAGGCTTGCAAGTAATCTTATGTAAATTAGCAGAAGACTCTTGTACAGCCTATAAGGGAATTTGCCATGTTCCCCAAGGTGTTCTCATAGCAAGTCTGTTTCAAACTGACCTGAAACAAGAGGAAATGAGGTGAGATAACAGAATTAATGTACTATTAACAGCCTTATCTTTTCGTGCCTGAAGGATAAATACATTTCTAGATGGAACATTTCATTTTTGACAAAAACCTTGTCTTCCAACAGAGCTCTTAATTGTCATCCAATTGCCAGAATGTTTAAAATACCCCTATAGGGTCATCCCCTATTAATAATTCATTATTTCCCTGTCTATATATTTGCATGATACATAATATTTGCATGATACATAATATGCATGGAATCACATAGGCACGTTCAGAGAGTTGTTACTTCTCTTTCATTTATACAATAAAATATTTCACACCACTAAGTGCAACAAAGCACTTTATTCAGTCATGCTGAGTGCCTATTGCTGAAGGCCATATTTTAGGACATGAGTCTCTCTTGCTGCCATTTGTATTTTGAAAATGGTGCATGTAACTGAAATGAAATTAGCTGTAAGGCTGCAGCATGAGGCTGACCTGCACTTAAATTATGTTTCCTTTTTTCTATAATAGACGTCAAACAGTATAGAATTATCTTGTGGATTTTTTTAAAAAATGCAACCTTCTTTTATGGGACATTCAAAACATAACCCTGTTATTTATTTCATGCTCATAAATCAAATATTCATCAAGAAAATAAATCCAAAATAGCATGTTTCCTGCTAGCAAGCTCATGAGTGGGTACTTTGTGTTTGAGTCCCTCCCACTCAGAACAAAGTGATTTCAACGTTTTACATAAGACTGAGTTGCTACAGAACTAAATCCACATCCAAATTGCTTAGCATGTTAGCTTGTTGTTCTGTAACCCATGGTAACAAACGTGGAGAACTTTATGTGAAGCAAGGCTTTTAGAAGAAAACACAAGCGATTGTAATTGAAAACATTTCAAGGAAAGTTGCACAACTTTTATCACTATGACAAGCAATGCGCATTCTGGTGAAAGCTTTGTGGTGAAAGCTGAGTCCTAAATTTAAGTTTTGAAAGGGAAGTAAAGGAAGGAAATGTGGCCATGGCAGCTTTTGAATGTCACTGGTGGGTTTGTGGTAGATCTGCTCAAGCTGACAAGGAAAAAAATATGTACCATTTTGTGGTACATGTACAGCAGTCTTGTTAATAGAAGTAAAGACTATAACATGACAATTTTTATGGTCAGGTATTTTGTAGATTGTAGATTGTAGAAGTTTATTTATATGCCGCCCTTTTCCCTGGGGGGACTCAGGGCGGCTCACAACCCAAGGGGGAGAGGGAGACAAACTTTTAACATATAAGACAATACATAATTAAAAACACAACATTCATACCATTCGGGCGGGTTACAATCTTAGTCCCAGGCCTGACGGGATAGCCAGATTCTGAGGGCTGTGCGGAAGGTCTGGAGGGTGGTGAGGGTACGAATCTCCACGGGGAGATGGTTCCATAGGGTCGGAGCTGCCACCAAGAAGGCTCTCCTCCGCGTAGTTGCCAGTCGGCATTGACCGGCAGATGGAACTCGGAGGAGGCCTAATCGATGAGATCTAATAGGTCGCGTGGAGGTAATTGGCAGTAGGCGGTCTCTCAAGTACCCAGATCCACTACCATGTAGGGCTTTATGGGTGACAAGTAGCACCTTGAAGCGCACCCGGAGATCGACAGGTAGCCAGTGCAGCTCGCGGAGGATAGGTGTTATATGGGTGAAGCGAGGTGCACCCACAATCGCTCGCGCGGCCACATTCTGGACTAGCTGAAGTCGCCGAATACTCTGAATTTTGATCTTCAGATGCCATACTAGACCAATAAATAATAGTTTTGGTAATTACAAAGAGTTTATTTATAGGCCTCTGTAGCTTACAGGAATCTACACCTTTTTCAATAAATATATCCTACTGCTGGATCTGAATTGTTTCAGGCTACCATATCTGAGCTGCTAGTGCCCAAGGTTCATATATGACCATCAGAACTTTGAATCAGTCATAGGTAACACCAGGATGGCTCCATTGTAACTTCAAAAGGACATTAAGCGACTAGCCATAGGTCAAGGACCTCCTGTATTCATTTTTTATAGTGCTTTGTTTGGGTCTGTCTGGTATGTAAAATCTCTTAAGTCTCTTGCATTCCGTTATTTTTTGTTGTTCCTGGAAACTATTCCCATGCATATTAAAGATACTACATATTTTTCACTCATTGCATATCTTTGTGCACTATCCTACTACAATGTTTCAGAAAGTCTTCTAATCATTAGAAAAATAGAAAAAGGTTAGAGTACAATGGGGAATCAATAAAAATCAAGTCTATAGCTTCCTGTGAATGGAAATGTTTTCTATTTATACCAAAGTGTCATACATAATGTACTGTAGGAAATGATAATTGTGTGATTTGGTCTTGCAAGAAATATATTGTAGCAATAGCAATAGCAGTTAGACTTATATACCGCTTCATAGGGCTTTCAGCCCTCTCTAAGCGGTTTACAGAGTCAGCATATCGCCCCCAACAATCTGGGTCCTCATTTTACCCACCTCGGAAGGATGGAAGGCTGAGTCAACCCTGAGCCGGTGAGATTTGAACAGCCGAACTGCAGAACTGCAGTCAGCTGAAGTAGCCTGCAGTGCTGCATTTAACCACTGCGCCACCTCGGCTCCTATTGTACCTACATAGAAGGAACATAAGGAATGTTTTGCTATTTAAATGGCAGAACAATTCTATGAGTAGTTCTTGGGACCACATTTCCTTTTATTTCTTGTCTGGAAGTTAGCTTCACTAAGCATAGTGGGCCTCTGTTCCAAGGAAATAAGCATAAAATTAATCTGTAATAATTTATCTGGTAGGAAAAAAAACATTTGGGCTTTGATTTCCAATTTTTGCTTAGTAGGAGATCTTATATTGGCAAGAATGTAATATTCTCCTTTTCTTCTTAAGCAAACGTTTTTGTATACTACAGTAGCATGTTGCTGCTGTCGTTTACTTATTCTGAAAATTAAATCAAATTATAAGAAATTATTAAATGCAGGTATTATTAGTGTTGAAAGAAACCTTAATGAAAAATGTTTGCATAAAATTTAAATGGCTCAGCATAATAATTGTTCATTATTCCCCATTATTCATTGGGAAAACAGAGATATTAAATTTTGAAAAATAGTTGTGAGACAAGAGAATGATGTCCTTTACGCAGATAATTATTTTCCATACAAAGACACCACTAGCACTGAAATTGTTTGCCCATTTTCCCCTATGAATTACTATATTTTCACCTGAATAATTCATACATCTTTCGATTGGTTTCGATTGTTTTTTTTTCCTCCAACCTCTCAGTTTTGCTGTTTTTCTTCCTATCAGGTAGATGAACTCTTTGAAGCCTACTGTATCCAAAGGCGGCTTCGTGATGGTGCCAGCAAAATGAAGCAAGCCTATGGATTGTCCCCTGCTAGCAAGGCAGCTCGAGAGAGTTTATCAGAAATCAATAAAACCTATAAAGAATATACCGAGGTATAAAATGATCTACGTTTTCTTTAGGCTTTCTAGATTGAAATTTTGCAATTACTGCAATAGAAAGATTCAATTGTTGTGGAAAAAAAATAGATTATGGATTTTTTTTTTAAAAAATGTATTTACAGTGAAAATTATTAAATGTATGCGGCATTGTGTATTTTGCCATAAAAAATAGCCTGTTTAGCACAAGAGGTTTGATTCCAAAAAAAAGTGCTTTAGACCAAACTTAAGCAAGATTGTAGGAATGAAACAAAATGTTAAAAAGTTATATTTATGTGGTTACTTAAAAAGCACATCTAAATTCTACTAAAGTAACCAAAATATCTTTACAATCCCCAAGGCATGTCACATCTTTTGAGTAGCTCTAATGTTTGGAAATTGAAAGTTGAAAAATTTGACACACCCAGTAGGAACCTAGCAGGATCCATTTGGAATTCACTATATCTATTTTCTAGAAAAATGCTTCTACAGTTTGAGATGCTACACAATTTCAGGAAAAGGCACTATAGTTTTAAAAGCTGTAGGCCAGTGCACCATTTTAAAATCAAATCTGAAACATTGTGTTGAAGTCACTGCAATTAATAGTTTGTAAAGCGAAGGTCCCCTTCAAGAATGAAGGATTTAAGGACATTTGATTCACTCGGAGTGGAATATTAACATTCCAGCAGATATTAGATAGGATTTGCCTCTTCTTCAAGCATGACTATTTTAGTAATTTTGATTAATATCAGTTTCTTAAATTTTGGTGTAGAATTGATCATATATCTAGGAATACATGTTTACTTAGTAAAGTTAAATGTTTTATAATATGTGATGTAAGTATAATAATTTATAATATAACATGATTACCAAAACGAACAGCACTTTGATGTGGTACTTAATGCAAATGTTTAGTCCTATGTATAAAGAGTGCCTGTGTTTGTATTTCATTGGGTATTTTACAATTGAAAGCAACTGTTCATCATAGTTTTCCAAATGTCCTGCTAGAATATTTGAACCTATGGGTAGAAAAAAATGGTTGCTTATATGATTCATTTTAATAAAACTCAGTGATCTGGAAGAAACTATTGGATTTTGATCCCTGGGTAACCAAGAAGGCATGATTTCCAAGGGAGCACTGATTTTTTTCCACCCGTTACTATTATTGTAAACTCAACCAAGGCCTACTTCAGAAATCACGACACTATAATTAGTGGTAATGAACACAGTTCAATGTGTTTTTAAGGTACCTTTATATAGTTCATTTGGAATAGTTGATCTGATATTAGTCTTCTGTTTTCCTACACAGAACATGTGTGCCATTGAAGGAGAGCTGGAAAATTTAATGGGAGAGTTCTGCATCAAGATGAAAGGTAAATTAATTGTCTTGACCCTCATGCCATTTTTTACACAAACGATCTCAGCAAGGGATCTCTGTGTGTGGTTTCTGACAGCACAGAGAGGACAGTTCAATTCAGATAAGAGGTTTGTTGTCTCTCACTCACCTCTTTGGGTATAAAGATTTCCAAATGTTTCCGCTGTGTTTCTAAATTGAAATGTCTCATGTTAATTGAAATAGCAAGCATTTAGAGCAAATTTTATAAAGTTTTTGTCTTGTTTAAAGATATGGGTAAAAAGGTTTAAGATCAAAAATTATAGTTAAAAGATGCTTATTTTTTGCATATATTTTATTATGCAATTAATCCTATTGTAGAGCTTAAAAAAGTCTGCTGCAAATTGTAAATATTGATATTACTTTTTATGAGATCAATATTTGACTAATTAAAAAGATAAACACCTCTGGAGCATACTGTATACTTAGAATTGCATGAATAAATAGTTTGGTAGGTATTAAAGATATCCATATCTCTCTCTCAATTTATTAGTGTGAGTGGAACAGAAGCGTCTTTAGTAGACAATATTGCCTCTTGAGAAATTTGTGAATTTATAATTTAACATTCTTTTTCCCTTGAAAGTCACTTCAATTCATATATAGGCTGAATTTCATACATCAATAGAAAAACTTGACAATTGTTAACTTGGAGCATCCTAAGAGACCCTTGTATATCTGTTGATATTTTGAGGGTTCTTGTTTTAGATTTTGGCTGCTTTCCTCTCTTCTTTTGTCCCCTCTCTTCTCCTCTCCACTTGTGGTGAAATAAAATACACCACAAAAATAGAAAAGGGCATTTCTTTCCTTGAAAACTTAATTTCTATCACTTTTTTAACTTTCCAAAATCAAAAGTGCTGATCACCTTTTTGCTGTTTATTCCAAAAAAAAAAAAAAGATTTAAAATCTTAAACTTATACAGGTAGTCTTCAACGTATGTAACTGAGCCCAGAATTATGGTCATAACTCCTGGAGACCCCTCATCTTAATTAATCCTTAATTAACTTATAAATGAAAATCTGTGAGACTCTATAGATACCTATTGCAATACATTACTTAAATAGGTATCAAATTATGACATTTTAATTGTCCAAGGAGAGACTTACATGTATTTGATACTCAATCGAGTGTCACCAAAGTAGTTACTTCTAATTGCAGACAGGGCCATAAAATTATTATTTTTTTTAGAAGCTTTCTCCCTGAAATATTTGTCTATGTCACATCCTAATGTACTTAGAAAAGAGAAGAATGTAAAATATGAATTTCAGCAATATTATTTATCTTTGATGTTTTCATTTTTCAAATGGTACTTTTTATGATTACAATAAATGAAATGCAATGATTTAGGCTACATTTTCTGATATCTGCGTAAGGATCTGTTTCTCAACATCTAAGTACTCACTAGAGGATGGGTGCTTTTCGTCTCAGCATATTGTTATTGTAGAGGATTCATTTTTCTTTCAGCGTTAACCTAAATCATGCATTGCAATAAAGTGAGCATATAGATTTCCAGCAAGAGTAGGAATGGATATGAACGCTAGCAGCAGTTACATTTGTAGGAAGTGGATCTTTAACTTTAACAATACTTAGCATGATTTAATATGAAATATAAAGCTTTGAATGTTAACCTTTAAAGGTATGTTGGAGCAGTTCCATAGCAAGTTAATGCAGCAGCATTTCTAAGACCAGTGTTCCTTAAGGAAAAAAATCCTTATTATTCATTTTAATTTGTTTTCTCCCCATTCAGAAATATATGTGCTTATGGGCAAGTACCATTTCCCCGAAAATACAAACTGTCCTGAAACTAACGCCTTGCCACATTTTTCATGTGGGCAAAAATATAAGCCCATCCCCAAAAATAAGACCCCTGGACAACACTCCCCCTCCGGCCAGGCAGAGCACCACTCACCGACCTAGCGGTATCTCGAAGGCACCAAGCCGTGGGAGCCGGGGAGGGAAGGCACTCACGTTCCTTGGTGCCTTCGGGATACCGCTAGGTTGGGGAGTGGCATTCTGCCTGGCTGGAGGGGGGAGTTGCCCGGCGGCTGCTCTCTTGTGAGCGGGCTCCCGAAGAGCCGGCACAACCTCTGGGCAAAGCAGCCATGAGGTGACCATGCTCACAAACAGTCGCCCGGCAAATCCCCTCTCCAGCCGGGCAGAGGAGCATTCACTGACCTAGGGGGTAACCCTAAGGCGCCAAAGCATGTGGCGCTCTGCTCGCTCCCCAGCTCCCGTGGCTTGGCAAATTTGGGATACCCCCTAGATCAGTCCATGGAGCTCTGTCCGGCTGGAAAGGGGGGTTGCGTGAGCGCCTGTTCCGTCCCCGCTGCGCTCTGAGCATGACTTCTTCTCCAGCTTCCAAACTCCAAAACTTGGCTGCCGAGTCTTCCAGCAGCAGCCACTCTAGGAGTGCACTCTATGGTTGTGGGCCAGCTGCCAGACAGAGAGTCTCCCAGCAGCCAGCCCACAACCATAGAGT